CTTATAATGCCCCCAGTCTTGCCTTTGGAGTCTATGATTAAATCAACCTTTCATATGCTTCTCGCATAGTAGAGATTTACCAGATATTACCAGAAATATAAATATGCTCAAAAGGATGAAATTTTCATCTATCTAATAATAGTCATAGATATACTAGCAAAGTCAGTCTTGAATCGAATTAAATAACTTAATATACAAATATGTACATATATCTCAGTACATGTAATAATTAAAACAAGGTAGGTTGCTGTCTTGGAGTTTGTATTTATAAGCATCAAATATTTATGCTACACAGGGGCTTTAAGGCCAACATGATGGTCTTTATTATATACCTAATGCATATCACTCAATTTTAATGTTGATTTTAGGCAATAATAATAAGCAGAAAAGATTATCTTTGGTTCTGAAACCATTGGTAAAAGCTCTGAGGAATTTTTAAAAAATCCTTCCAACTTTAATCTCTGATTTTTTGCCATATTGGCTATATGCACCTGACATTTCGAGATATGATTGGGAAAATCTTAATTTCCCCAGGGTATCCCTTTCCATAATCAACTTACCGCATAATTTGGATGCAGACATAAATTACATAACATTCCCATCATCATGCATTTGCATGTATAAATTCTGAAATTTTTATTTCTGAAGGCATACATTTACTGTTCAACAGCAATTTCGAGATTTGGATTTTCCAATTTGGAAACAATTTTAACAGTCAGAAATTCATAAACAATGCTTACTATTTTGTTCTTGATTATAAAAATTAAATAATATAAATTACAAAAATTAAATAATATAAAAACTTTCTAACAAAAATCATATAACAAAATGAAAGTTTTGATTATTGCAATATCAATTTCCCCTTTAAAGGCTTTTTAAGGGAATTTCAAGTGAACATCATGCAAAAAGTACATTTTTTCTGAGTTGTGTCACGCACAATATGAATTATATATAGCACTTACTCAATTACAACACGTACAAAAAAATCAATGCTGCAAATGCATCACTTCTGACCCACAGAAACTGTATCACTCAAATGGAATTTTAAATTACAAATTTGAATTAAAAAAGATAAAAATACATAATGTTCATCAAATATATATGCAAACCGAGGTTGTTTCCAACAAACAACAAAATAACTGGCAAAGTAATTGTCAATACTCTGTCTGAAAAAGATCTGCCACACACATAAACCATGCAACAAACAGAATCCAAAAAAACATGCTGAATTAGAGAAAAAAAGGGTTTCGTGTTTGGCAAACTCTTACAGTAGCTTGGATGTTGACACAAGTAAGCTCAAATCAGTCATTGATTTTCATGTGCATTCATGTGAAGCAAAGTCAGTTACGATTCTCTCACAAATGCCCTGTCCGATAGATCAAGGGTATTGAGCTGACCCGAGTATTGACTAAAGGTGAAAATTATAGCCATTGTGAATCTGCGTTGAGTAACTTGGTCATCAATTTAAATTATGGATTTGTTTTGCTGACTTAATGTTAAGTATGGGCTTCGGCTGTTGCTATCAATAATGGGGTGAGTGCGATGTAAAACTGTTAAAGACTTGTTTTTGCTTTTTTTGGTTTTGTTGCTTTCCTGTTCGTAATCTAAAAAAACCTAGACATTGGGCTTCTAAAAACTTTTTATATAAAACAGAAAGGATAAATGAAAATGTGAGGAATAACTACATTTTCATGTTTTTACACTGTATTTTAGAAATTCCTAACAATTAATGTAAGAGTCTGAATTCAAATAGAACAAATTGGAATAGTGAACACACACTGCAGAGAATGGAGTGGGTGGGGGTGGGGGGTATGTATTTCTATGGTGAATGGCAAGTTGTCAGGACAGTGTATTTCTGTAAAGTCATCACTTTGGTAAATTGAGCTTTCGATTAAGCTAATACAAAAATTTCTTATCAAAACATTCCATACTATTATGACCAGAAGATATACAGTCTAAAGTTTAATTCAAATTAAGGCTTTAAATTCTTGAGAGATTTCACTCAACATATATTTCTTCTTATGCCATTCCATGGAAACTGCAATATGTACAATGAATCACATAGATTAAATTCTCTACGGGATCGATTTAAAACGAAATAACTAGAAAAAGCATGCCTTTTTGTAAGCTTTATCTAAAGCTCTCTCCATCTCTCTCTCTTTTGATAAACTAAAAAACTTTAATGATATATATTCCCAGTAGTCAATTACTTAGATGTATAGCACATGTTACTTTAATTACTGTCAGGATATAATCAAATTACAGATTTTATACCAGCACAGGGTAGAGCCCATTCAGATTTGGATAATGTAAGATTTGTTATTGTTTGAACAATAATAAGTACCATTAATCAAGAACACTAAACAGGCTGCTTTACAACCTTTATTCTGATACTTTACCTATAACATGTGAGTAACCAGAGCATATAATTTTCAGGGTGTATTATCCTTCAATGCTACATCTTGGCAACTCTTTGTTGGGCTTGCAATCTCTTTTGAACATGTTGAAATGAACCTCTTTCAAAAATTTTAACATTAATATATAGGGCACATGCAACATCAAGCAACATTACTTGTATCTGTTATATACAAATACATAAAAGTTTGGTCCATTTTAAGATTTATGCTTACTCCAGATATTAACAGCTGGAGAAATGTAAACAATTTGTGTGATATTGTAACAGCTTTAACTGACTACATAGTTCAGCAGACATTAAAAAATGTAAAACATAGAGTGATAGACCTGTAGTCAAAGATTATAAAGTTCATCATACATGCAAGTTTTGTCTAGGTAGATCTAAAGTTTCTTGAGAATAGACCTGCTCCAAAAAAATTAACTGGTCACTCATCTGGAAAATATGTCAGATCCAGCATCCAGAGTAAAATGGTTAGCATCAATCCCTTGATGAATGATATAAGCAAGTTTGGTCCAGGTAGTGCTTGCCAATGTATATTACTTGGGAACTGACCTGCTCAAAAAATTTAACCTGGTCACTCATCTAAATATCATCATCAGACCCAGCATCCAAAACAAGTAGTGTCCATCTCTTACTAGATGCATCAAACAAGCAAGTTAAGTATTGGTAAGGTATATAGTTACTTGGGAATAAACCTGCTCTAAAAACTTTAACCTGGTCTCTCAATCTCATCTTGAAAATGTAGGTCAGACCTAGCATCCGAAGCAAGTCTGTTGCTGTCCATCCCTAGGTACATCATTCATGCAAGTTTAGTCCAGGTAAGGCTTAAAATTACATGGGAATGGACTTGCTCTAATAACTTGAACTGGATCACCGAGACTAACACCAACAATATAATGAAGGTGAGCTAAAAATAAACAAGTTGACAAACTGGGGTGTGGATCAAAAGAATCAGAAACCTTTACTTGAAGCTTTGGCTCAGGTGATTTAAAAAACACACACAGTGGACCTTCAGATATCCGGATGCCAGATATCCGGATGCTTCAGTATCCGGACGATTTTTCATCGGAACGGATTTTTAAAATTTCATATTGTCTTGTTTAACTGTTGATTCAGGTATCCGGACGCTTCACATATCCGGACAAATTGACTGGGAACCAAAGCGTCCGGATAAATGAGGCTCCACTGTATATATCATGCAATATGAAAGAGTGGACATTAAATTCCCAAGTATAAACATCAGAAACCTTCCATGCTTAATATTAATTGACAACTTTGTTTCATTCTATGCTTGTAATATACAAGATAGTGATACCCAAATATGTATGCTAACAAAAATAAATTCAAGAGCATCCCATTTGAATGTAGTATGCTACCTATATTTGTATATAAACACAAGTTTTATTCTGACTGATTTTTAAAGTCTACGGCATTATCCTGATTTATTTAAGTATTTATCATAAGTGGCTTAACTCATGGAGAAACGTAAGCCATATATCCATGTATACACAGAAGATATACAAAGAAAATACATGTGTAAAGAAATTTTAACTTTAATTCAAAACAAACGTAACCTACACTAAGTAAAATTAATCCTTGTACACAACCTAAGTTTAATTAAAACAATAAATCAAAAAACGCCATCAGGTCATCTTTTATATGGATTACAACGACCTTGACATGCAATGCACACATATCAAGTGTTCCAATTTCCCCCCAAAGTTAACCGTCAAGTGAGGTACAATTGACATTTGTTTTTTTCTGATCAATATAACAATGTTTGGCTCCTTATCTTCTGTAGTGAGTGAGGAGGGGGAGAATGGATCCACAACTCACCGGCGGAGATATAAAATCAAAGAGAGAAGAGCCATGAGGAACAGATATCAGAAAGTCCCAACATATGCTTTAGGTCCCGATAAAGATATTCTTAATTATGCCTATGGATCAGAGACCAATCTTGAAAGGTGAGCATTAATATTTCATTAATTAAACTAGGTAACAGGAGAACTGAATTTTTTGGGAAAAGCAGAAACTTACTTCATCACACTTAAATGGTACTATATCTAATTTAGATCTACAGATGCATTCAAAACCAGGATTCAGATACCATCATACATGTTGTCTGGAGATCTGATACAGATCCTTTTTACCATATTTTTTTTAATACACATGTATATTAAATCTAGAATACTGTACAAAAACTCATCTCAGAAAATTAACTCATTGTAGATAAAGATTACATATTCTAATGAAAACTATTGACTTTTCTGGCAGCCAGGGTAATTATCAACAGTAAATTTCATACTCAGCCTGATGAAATGCCTTGGTAGCTTTTTAAACATTTGTAATGAATTAATCATGAAGGTTCAAATTCAAGTAATGTACTCATTAGTTCTTCTGTATTTCTGTGTGATGATACTTTTTTAAAAATCCTCATTTTCCAGGCACATGGTATATACTATTTTGTTCATCTAAAATTAAGACAGTAACTTTTGTTTTATGTAGATATATTTCTTAAGTTTAACCCATAGATATATTTCTTAAGTTTAACCCATACCAAAAGTGTGCAATATAATAAACTTACCTATTTCTGGGGCATACTCTGGATGTATCTCTCTCCCCTTCACCATTCTTTCTGCCACCCTCCATGGAGATTCTTTGAGGGGATAGTTGAAATCTAGCCTGTACTTTTTCTGTAGCTCACTGACAACATCCTCTTTGTCTCTCTGAGTCTTTTCCCTTACCAGGCCTGAGTTGTCTTCCCTTGCTACAGGAAGACCTTTGTTATCTGTCTGGATTATCTCCCCTTTGATGTCGGGCTCCAGTATTTTGTAGGAAACAAACAGAATAAAGATGACTGTTAAGCAGACAAGAACTCTCCATTTCCTTCTCATGGTAATGACTTCATTGTAGGTTGGTCTGCCAGAGTTGTCCCTCTTTCACCTGGCAATCAAAATTCAGGATTTTAACTAATGATATCAATATGCACAATACAATGTAATTCACATAAGGATATAAAATTGTAAGTACACAGTACACTATAGATAGATAAAGCTTTTGCAGACAGCAGGTGCCAGGTCGTGGTGGTCTGGAGACTTCACCTTGTACACTATTGATAAGACACTCATCCACTTTGTCTGTAAAAGTGATTAGACAACATTGACTTTATCTGAATGTCCGACTTTTTTGGGGTTCATTAAAAGACTGCCTCCTACCAGAATTATTGTTTGGTTTAGCATTTATATGTATGTCATTGTACTATTAAGCATTTAATCAGGAAAAAAGGACAGACAAAATGTGTCAGCATAAATCAAAGGTTTTTACAATGCTTGGATCTGCAGCTGTCTGCTTTATCTGTGCAGATTTTCTCAAGCAGAGATCAAGCTATAATTCTGCAGGTAGCTCAAATTTTCTGTGCAATATCATTTAAAAGGTCTAGATGGTGTACACCTTAAGTTTTCACTTTTGCACTTGACTGAGGAAAAATGTACACCAGAGGCCTGTTCAAGAGAGCGAACGTTTGCATGCGCTTGCCAAAATTCCTTATACCTTGAATAAAAATGTTAGCGAGTGCTCGCTCTGTTGAAAAGGCCTCAGTTGTAAGGTGTAGACATGCAATCCAAGCATGCCCATAGTGAAACATGTACCTGGGTAATCAATATATTAGGCAATTTAAAAAGTATCTGTATTAAATTAAAGATTTTTAGAATATTATTTGAAACACTGAAATAGCCTATAATTAATAAATTCAAATAAAATTATCGATCTTCATATTCATCAGTCTAGTTCACACTTTGCATGACCAGATCGCTTTTTACTGGATCTTTTTGTTATATATAAAATTCGTACCTCTGACCAGTTTGTATATATAATGTATATATATAATGCTTGAACCCCATGTATCAATCTTGGTTTGGATGAATAAAATGAACTTGAAATTGGGTCAGTCAGGTATAGATCTATAATTTCTTAAAATATAACAATGTTCAGTCTAATGTCAACTTGACTCGAGTATAACACTCTAATAGAGTTCAACTCGTATGCAAGAAGAAGAAGATTAGGTTGTTCTAGGCCTATACTGCCTAGCTTAATTAATATAAATATATGATAATCAAAATATCTTCATCATTTTCACATACAATCATAAGGGATTTGTATTAAAGGTCAATAAAGGAACTGTTTTGCAAAATACATCATGATAAAATCAATGCAGTTGTATCTCTTATCACCTTATTTTCTCTGATCAAAATATTATAACAAAGTTGTTAATCACAAATAAAAACCGAGGAAATTCGAACCATTCGTAAGTTGCCACTTTCAAGTTCTGTGATTTATTGTTATTTCATATGCTAGCTCACTTTATGCCATTGAGATTTTCATCATTTTGATTTTTTACCATATTTGGTAGGAGTTTTTCTCCAGTATTCATCCTCAGAGCAGACTCTCCATCGAAAAACAAAAACTGACCAGTTTGCACATAAAATTATACAAAACGAAAAAATGGCAAACAATGTTGCAAAATACTCCATGAACACATATTTAAAGACACTTCTATTTATTTCTCAAGAGTGTTTTTCTAATCATCATTCCTTTAATCATGACGATTACTTCAATATTTTAATGGACCGCGTGCTTTGAACATTTCTACAGTATTCGTTGCGATAAATGACAGCTCCTAAAAATCAATAATTCAAGATTTGATGCTGCAGCTGAGAATGGATAGATACAAAAATGTTTGAAGATGACATGGAATTTACGGATTCCTATTCACAAGTTCCTCCATTACCACCGAGATATAGGTTCAGGGATCTCATCTGGGGGGAATCTGGTCACCATGGTCAAAATGATGACAGGTTAGTCTTAGTTTGAATGGAAGATGCCTTTGACGTTTTATCAGCAACTATTTTAGTATTTATAAACAGACCTACAAATTGGATTTACAGTTAATCGGGAAAAACTCTAAAAATGAATTTACTTATATTTCACTTCAGTAGGATTTGTTTTTAAAATGAGATTTTCTTTAACATATGCTTATTTATTTTGCCTTATTAAAATACATAGGCCTAGTGATAAAATTTCAGATTTCAAAATAATTGAGTTGCTCGCAGACTTCCAGAAATCAATAATTTTATCTATAATGAATAATTTAAATAGTGGAAGTTAAATCAGAACTGATTATATTCATTGTCATAGGAACATGTATGGAACACGTCAACATAACATGAAGTAATATAAAATTTATTTAATGTATATTTATCAAGGCTGAATACGCAAGTTTCGAGATTATCTCCCTTGGTGCGCTCTTTCGTTGAGGAGGGGAGTTTCGTTGCCGCGTAAACAGACAGGTGGGACAGATATTTATTATTGGATACATTGCATCATCGATATACTGGTTTATCATAACTACATGATTGTCAGGATGCACTCTACAACTCGAGAATAACCGAATTAATGTAAAAAGACATTTTTAATGCAAAAAAATCGTAACAAAAAAAGAAAATGTCAGTGGATGTGAGACTTTTCAAACGAGGGAAGAGATATGGACCTCTAATAAATACGGTACACATGCATCCATCTGATCATTGCACATCGGCAATCTAATTGATACGTTGATTCTTTTCCTTATTATAATTTTAAAAAACCCACTAACTTTTTATAAAATGTTTGTACAATTAAGAAATCAGTTACTTTTTATAGAGACTACGACGTTTCTTTCGTTTTCAAGTACATATAATTTAAAGTAGATTTGTAAATATGCATAGTTGAGCTTGATAAAATCATCAAATACATCACTGCTTAACAATATTATCGTTCTATAACATTTAATAAATTTTAAAAGCCATAAATATCGTTCATTTATTAATGCACATTTGTATACAGTAGCAATCTGTCCCACCCCCATGCTGAAATGGATACTTTTTGCGCGGATCTATCGTAGAAGAGTTACAATCTCAAAACTCGCGTATTGAATGATTCCACATCTTGTTGAACTTATAATATTTACAAATATTTACATTTTCAATGTCTTTGTCCAAGATAAAATTACAAATAGTAAAAATACTTTATTTCTACATAAATCTTCTGGTTTATAGACAGGTGCGGTTAAAAAAAAATCATGTGTGTGGCAGGACAAAATGAGACAAAAGTGGGGCTTATAGCACTTAAAATTTGCGGAATCAAGAGCATGTAAATACGAGGGTTGATCCAAAAGTTCGTGGAATTTCTTCATATCTTATTTATTTTTCAGTGGAATTGGTTGAAAATTACAAATAAAAATATAGACACTAGATGAAAATTTTAGATTAAAAAACATTTTAAGTATCTTTGATAGTAACTTTATGGCAGTTGCCATAGAAACGGTTGTTAGGAAAGGCGGGGGAGACATTAACGCGTTTATTATCATATATATTCTGAATTCGTGAAATAAGAATTAAACCGCCCTACGTGGTATAAAAACGAAAACTATGTCATAATTATGATTGTTTGATCTTTTATAAACCTGTGTGTGAGAGTTTTACTGATTTTACTGGATATTTAGTTTATAAGCTGATGGTTTATTGTTCATCTCTAAGTTGTAACATAACGTAAAATTTCGGTCAAGTCACACGTTTTGTGAAAATCCCGGAAGCACTCTATCTTAAACGCGTGTATCATTGACATAAGCTTGGGGAAAATGCATTTAGTTACTAGTTTTCCAGTGGCATAAGAAGTTTAAGAAAAATAGAACTTCCATGGACATTGATAAAGTATGTGGTCGCTTTTCAGAGTCTCTGTTTACGTACGTATCCCCCTAGAAAAATTAAAAGCGTTAATGGATGTTGTTGGCTGTGGCACTGTTCTTGACATTGCTACTGAAGTTGAACATTATATGGAAAGATGGGTAGCTTTTTTTGAAATATGAGTAAAAAATGAAGATAAGTTGGTGCAAGAGGATGCCCAGGCTTTTCTTGAGAGAAAAAAATGGAGAAAAGGGCAGCATTTTGTAGAATTACGTATTATAATTGGACATTTGGGCGAGATGCTTCTATAACGTGACGTGACATATCTAACTTGACGTTACGTTGAAGTCTCCCCCGGGTTTCCCAACTATCCATTTTCAGAAAGCTCGTGTGACCTTATTGGTAATTGGAAAGTGGCGAAATTTTCCAGTATTGTTGCGTTATGACTCTATTTTTTGAATATGCCTGTTGCTTAATTTCATCAAATCACGATAAAATTTTAGAAAGAAATTCCACGAACTTTTGGATCAACCCTCGTATAATTAAGGAATAACTGTCAGATTTTTTGGTTTCATGACAATGATCAATCGACTTGCATGATAATTGCATAAACAACTTTGGGAAACGACTTTACCGGTCCCCAGAAAAATGCGCTAAAATGTAGTGTCGCCAAAGGCGACTTCAGTATATATGAGATTGCGTGAGTGATAAAAAAATTAATTTACAACGTTTTTTTAGCCTTTTGACCTCAAAACTGAAATCTATGGTCAAAAATTTAGTTTAAAACTTCATTTTTAAATGAAGTTTTTAACCTCTTTCTCTGAAAAAATTAATGAATAATGTTTATTCATTGAAAAAATCGACAAAATATAATTGTCAATGAAGCGTGTGTGGCGCATGTTTAGTGTCATTTCTTTCATACTTAACCTTTGCATGTAAACAAACCAACAAAATGCTGTTGATGCTGAATTGTGATATTAAAAAATTACAGAAGCACCTGAATTTCTTAATTTATCTAAAAGAACGAATCACTAATCCTAATCTCTCCTATGGTATGCAAGGACTAAGACGTTTCTACGACGAAATCTCACAGGCAGATGCTAGACTAACTCTAATCAGTCAAATAATGTGCAAAGATGAACCCTTATCTCTGGGATGGGTGCGAGACTTAACCTTAATCAGCCAAATACTTGTGCAAGGACTAACCCTAATCTCTCAGGTGGGTGCAAGAGCAGCAAGACTAACCCTAATCAGTTGAAAAGTGTGCAAGACTAACCCTTATCAGTTGAGTGATGTAAATGTTATGTCATAGTCCAGTGAGCGCGAGGATCTTGCGGATCTGGGCATCGGTAAAGTAAAGTCTACCCGCCTTTGGCATTTATGCGAATTATCACGTAAGCCACTCGATTGATCACATCATTGTTACTTACCGGGTCATCAGACAACAGAACCGAATTAATGGAGTTGAGCATTGTGGCCCATAGGCCTTGTTTTCTATTCATATTTCCAACAGAGATGAATTAATTTAATGCTGGTAAACTAAGTTTAAGTATAAACACGAACATGTTTAAATATTTATCATAGTTTTGATGAAGGAAGACAACTTTCTTCTTCAATGAATCCTCTTTTTTTTTTTTGAACAATTTCCGCAGCTTTTTCCTCTGGCCTTTCTTCAAAGCTCCTCCTGTTGATTCTTCAATTTTCTTTTCAACAGTGTTTTGTTTCTTTGCTTATTTATCTTTAAGACATTCTAGATATTTTCCTTACCACTGATACCTTTTGGACCAAAACATTTATAAGCACTAGAGTAATTCATTGTACATGCAGAATCCTGATTCATGATCTTTTAAAGTAACATCCCATGCAGTTTTGTGCTTTATCACCTTGATAGTCCAGTTTGCCATTTAGAGCATCCTCAGTTAGTCCAGAAAGACAATGGCTAATTTTCGTAAAATGTTAGAGACTCCGAGTCATCAACTCAACATGATTACTGAATCAGATACTGCTGATTTCAAAGACTGTTAATTGATGGTCGTGTTACCTTTAAGGCTTTTAATGTTCATGGGATTTCTCTCTCTGTTCATTTACAGAATCACAAGTAATTATCCCAAAGTTCAATGGTGCAGAAATTACTGGAAAATTTCAAAATGAATGTGTGTACTTCAGAGACAAGTCCTAAATTCTATATAACAGCATAGAATGTTAATGAAAATTTGAATTTTTTAATATTAAATTAACACAATTTAAAGTATTTAGATAATAAAGTAAGTGATTTTATCCCAATAAGTGTTATTTAGAAGAGACATTTTGAAACATTTTGACAAATAAATTTGCTTAAAGTGTGACAGATTAACTATATGCATTAGATATTGATTATAGATATAAAATTAATTATTGTAGGTCAGATAACTCTGACAAATCAATTTCTGAGCCGCAAATGAACAATGCTAGTATTTTTTTTTTCAATACGAATGTAATTTTCTCAGACAAATTATTTTAGTGCCTACAATAGATCAATACTTTTGGTTCATTTAATCTAGGGAATTCCATCAGGAAGTGATGTAATAAATTACAACTCTGAAATGGCAAATTGAAGAAAAAAATAAACTAGGTTTTGAATTATGAATAGTCTAGGAGTACTGATGTTGTCAAGGTGTTATGATACATTGTAATGTTATTTTCTAAATTAAGTTACTTATTTTTATTTCACTTGATCATCAGTAACATTACACTACAGTGAATTTTGGACAAATTCATGGTTTTATAGTTTAAAATTTGTGT